ATACGCTTGTAATAAACACACAAAAAACTATCGGTTTGCATGTCGTGTGCTCTATAAAGGAAATTAGTTTAATTTAGTTTGTGTGTTCATGGTTTAGGGTTCCGGGTTTACCCTTCGTTATATTATCATAGTGATAATAGGATTGAAAGGGAGCGTTTTGTCGTTTTAGAACGCGAAATTGATAACAATGTTACAAATTATAAGTTAAGTAAATATTTTTTTATGTTGAAATCCAACGTGTTGAATTTCGGAGTTGCGTTCTAATTCGCTATCCAATATGATATACCTAGGATACCATACGGCATTATCGGCATACCTACACTAAAGTCAATAGGGCCTAGGTACCTTAGAGTAAAGTCCTTACTGTACCTATTTTGTATGAATTTAGTGTAGGACTGTAACTGTAGGCTAGTGCCAAATTTTGGTTCAATGATTGGCAGTTTGGCACCTGTGGTGAAAGCTTGGATCATGGAAATAGATAATTAGTACTAATTTATTATATTGACCAAACCAAATTATTGCTCACTTAGGCTAGGCTAGGCCGCCTACCTATACCTAGCTATATTTACTTATGATATTTGATAATGATTGTAATTTGTATATAATTTGCAAGGTCTGTAGTCATTTTAGTGGTTTTAATCTTTAGAAGATGTTATTGTGGAATGAAGTTTCTGTTTACCTACAAATCTTGTTTTGCAACTTGCAGTCTTGCACTGTCAAATAATAATATTGACTACAGCATGAAGAGGACTCAAATATATTCTCTCATTCTCTGATTTCTCTCCTCTCTCCCGATGTAATCATGTATAAGATAATAGTAATACCTAACCAGTCATCGATGTCTAGTCCAACTGTCCACATCCAGCGGACCAGCTGTCTCTAGCAGACTAGCAGGATTATCATCATGCATCAATAACACTAATACACTATTAAATGCTGATTGATGAACAATGGAGTGAATGGACTATGCACTTAATGCACTAAGGTTCAAGTGTCACTACTGTGACTGAGTTACAGTAGTGACAGTAGTCACAGTACTCTTTCTGAGTAGAGCAACCAGCAAGTACTACTGTCTACTCACTCTAACCAGTCTACTGTCATGATGTTTGGAACAGGGCTGAAAAATTCCTATTTTTTTCTGAAATATAGTGTCTCTAATATCATATAGGGTAAACGCGGTATATTCCGACACATTAAGGACGCATCGAGAAATTAAAAACTATAATAAAAAAACGTATGCGTTACGTAAGTTCTGTTGCCTTCACGTGACTCTCAAAACACTTCACTACGCGTCAGCAACGATGAAACGTCACAAAATGTTGCCATATTTATTAAAAAGCCTTTAGAATGGAAACCTACCAAATCCCTATATTCCGTCACTATATCAAGAAAAATCATATATTATTGAAAGATAATTAAAGGCATACTGTACTGAGTAATGTGAGTATTACGTCTGTTCCTCCACAAACTGCTCGTGCGCGGCAGCGCAACGTAGAATTGATGGCCGGGGATTGCGCGAACACGTGCGCAAAGAGAATCAATTTTCAATACATTGCGCCAACTGTGCACAGCAATAGCTTAAAAAAAGTGAAAATGTGCGGGAAAATTCACCGAAAACATACATCATCCTGAGTGTGGACTAAGCAAACATGTTTGCCCAAAAATCCTGCAGAACATGATCATCGTAATGTTAACAAGTCAACTTGAACATTTCGTTGAAGATTGCTCATAGTTGCGGTCATGTCAAACTTTTCGAGTGATGGTAATGAGGTTTCTATTCATACAAAAAGTAACTGCTCAACCCAACAGTCAAAGCGGTCACCGGTCAGACTGCATTGACATGTGTTCAGCTTACAGTAAGGACAAACGTTATTGTTGCCGTTTGACTGTTTTAGGATAAAATTAGAGATTTGGGATATCATGTGCATGGACTTTGTAAATGAAGTTGCACCTTGTAAATGGCTTTTCAGGGCCAAGATATGGAATTCATGGCTCTAAAAAATGGAATCACGGCTCAAAAAAATGGAATCAAGGCTGGCAAATCCATAAAACCATGGCTTGAAAAATTCTGTCGTGGCTTGCCAAGTAGATATATTCCATGCCTGGTCTGGAATATATCTACTTTCCAAATCCATGCCAGAATTGCAATTTTTCTACTTACTGTAATCTTGCCAGACAGTAAAGCATGGCACAACACATTGATTATCATGAAGGATACCAAATTTGTTTTGCCACAAAGATGCTTACGTACAATCAAGGTGGATGGCATTGTCAATTTTACTTCTCCATAGATCACATTTTATGATCGGTATGGCAAAAGCGTAATGTTTAGCACAGAACTATGTGCATTATGATTGTTATGGCCAATGCACAATGATTGGCATGGATGAATGCACAGTATAATTGCTTCAAGTGATGTACAAGCAATTAAAACAAGCAGGAGATAAACGTGATGGTGGCGTTGTTGATTGCTTTATTCACAACTTGTCATTCATTATGGCTGCCAATTTAAGGTCTAGATGGCAGATGGAGAGCTTGAAAAGATGCCAATATCTTGAGATTAAAGGCCTTATATACTTTACAGCCAGGTAATTGTGCAGCAAAAAGTGTCAAATTTTCAATACATTTTTAATCTTGCAGCCCGATTTGGAACTTTTCTCAAATGATTAGATAAGAGGTAATTAAACTAGTAGGAAACTTGCAGCTGCAAAAAATGGCAGGAAAGCTCTTATTGTGGGCCTGTGGCTTTAAAGGTAGATACTATATTCCAAGCCATGACTAAAGCTTTTCATCCAATTATTAGAGCCACAACATAGTGGCAAATGAGAGATTTTTTAGACTTGGTTTAGTTCAAATTGGCCAATCTAGTTCAAAATTTTATTTACTATACTATGGAAACCTGGCTGTTAAGTAAGGCCTTTTAGCTCAAGATATTAGCATTAGCAGCTTTTCAAGCTCTCTATCAGCCATCTTGACCTCAAATTGGGGTCCATAATCAATGACAAGTTGTGAATAAAGCAATCAACAGCACCGCCAAAGTCCGCCATTGCGTGGATGTTCTGATTGTTTTGATTGCTAATATATCACTTGCAGTGATTGTAATACATGATTGTCCATGCCAATCATTGCATACATTGGCTGCAACGATTAATGATTGTAATGCACATATGTCCATGTCAATCATTGTGGGTTGGCTGTTATACCACAATGCATCAGCCATGTTGATTGTTAATTGAGATCTATTAGAAAGCCTAATTGGTGACTGCTGTCTGCCTCAATTGTACCTCAACGTCTTTTGGGCAATGAAGTAGGCATCCTTGACCTATGTTGTGCCATACTTTACTGTCTGTTATAGGAGTATATGCTTAAGGGCTGTTGTAGAATATATCTAGATGCCTTTCAGGCCATGATTAGTCAATTAGAGCTTTCCTGCCATTTTTGTTGATGCAAGATGCACAGTTGGGCCAGAAGATTTGTGACCCAATTGTATTGAAAATTCGGCACTTTGAAGTTGCAAGATTACAGTAATAAATAGAGAAGTTCCAGTCCTGCTTGGAGCTGAGGGCATGCTCAGAGATGGGGAAGGTCAACAAAAAACTCTGGTTTGCCACCATGGGCTGCCATGAATGGCCCATGATATGAATTGCCTCCTATCTAATTGATACCAAAAGGGCACAATCTGGCTGTGAGTATGTAATTTCCAATTTATTGAAAATGTCAGCAGCTGTCAGATTTCAGTAATAAGTAGGAAATGTTACTTATTCCATTTTGCAATGAGGCAATGGGCACCAGTTGCCACTGTGTCTCATCCACCCAAGAAAAAAATACAAGAAGGCTATAAGCCACCTGTAGAAAGTGTAAATAAAGGCAAAAAGTTCAATGCACAAAGTCAATTTCAGTTGTTTGAGACTGTTCCAATGGCTCTGGACTAATTTCATCAGTAAAACACAAGAAAGATGGAAAATTGTACTTGAAACCTGGCAAGGAATATTTCTACTGTTGAGCCATGATCGACTTGAGCTTTCCCACTATATTTGGAGCTGCTTGACAAATTATCTCCTTTCTAATTTTTAATAAAACTGTGATCTGGCTGCAAGATTCAAATCTATAAAAATTGGTCACTTGGGAGTCACAAGATTTCTTAAGTAGAAAAATTTCAATCTAGCTTTGAATGATCTATTTTATCTGCCATCACAATTTCTGGGAGATGTTCCAGATTCAGAAAGAATGGCATTTCCTAAATTGCTTTCTTTGATTTTTTAAGTTTAACATTGATAGGTTTACTAATACAATGAACAAAAATATAACTCAGTAGGTACTCACTGCTGTGAGCGACACAGCGCATTTTCTTGTTGACAAAAACGTGAAGTCACGGACAGACGGATGGATGGACAGACATGATGAGCACAATAGCGCATTTTTTCCATAAATGAGAAAATGCACTAACAAGTGGTCACCTGGTACTTCATCATTTTAATGGCAGAAATTAGGCAAGGCCATATAAACAGGTCACACTGACAACAAGCATGGTTATTTGTCTGATTCTTGGGTGGCTTCTACCTAATTTCAGAATGGCCACCTCTGACAATGAGCAGTAGTTAGTTAGTTATTTGTTCGGGAACTACGTGCTCACATACACTTTCTTGGACATGCAAAAAATTTCACTAATCAACTGTGCAAAATTATTTGAAATTAATATTTTGACTCCATGTGAGAAATAAAATAAATTGATACTAGATTGTTGTGGCATTAATTGTCTTTAAGTTGCGTATGTTTATATCCAAGTGAACAGTCACTGTTCATCTTGGTAATTTTGTAGAATAGGTAGTCATAAGGACAGAAACCTTGACTAAGATTGTCCAAAATTTAGAAAATTCAATAGATGAAGTTAAATTGTATCTATGTAACTGATTTGTCTTTCTTGAGGCTGTGTAGACACTAATTTAACCTATTCTCTATGCACTTTCTCTTAACTAATATGTTTTTCATGATCAGGCTGCCTATTCAAGTAAACAACTTGACAATGAAGATTTCAACTCTTCACAACTGGAGTTTAGATTTTTACTTCTAGCATTAGAAAGAGAGCAAACTTCACTATGCCTATTCAGTCATCAGCATGGAGTGACTTCTTGAGTTGCCCTATGTGCTACCAGCCATTCAATGGGAGCCTGCGAGCACCAATCAGCCTTGGCTGTGGTCACACCTTGTGTGAGGTGTGCATCAACAAGTTGCGCTCAAACCAATGCCCCTTTGATCAGGTCAGTTGAATGAGCTATATAATTAAGTTAGACCTGCTACTTAAAATGTTAGGTGCATGTGCTATTATAAATTTAAAGAGTTCTATGATGCTTATTTTTGAGGCATTATATTGATGTTCATCAGTCCAGATTATTCAATAACGTTATCTAAATGCATTATTTACTATCTACATTTTTCTATAAAATTTAAAATGCATGTTCCTAGTCAAAGATTAACTTGATCAATCTAATAGCTGCTCTTGAAACTCTCTTACTTGTACTGATTTGAAGCAGCATGTAAAATTAGTTTATTTTTGTAGATCTTCTATAATGATAATTTTTCCATTTTTTTATAAAAGTTCATTACATATTCATGTCAGAAAGAAAGTCTTTGAATAATTTTCAAATGTTATTTTCAGTAAACATTCTCTGAAAAATTTTTTTTTTCAGCTGGAAGTGAATGTGAAGCTCTCCCAACTGCCAGTAAATCCAGCCATTCTGTGTCTGTTAGACCATGATCATCAGGCATACAGGCATGAGCATCGTAACTCGCCTGCAAAGAGCAGGAAAGAATGGCACCATCCCCCGGAGTGTGTGCCTCAGGAGCACATCACAACTTACATAACATCAGTTGAGATCATGTGCAAGTTAGCCTATTTCTTGAAGCCAATGGTGGGAGGATCAAATAGCTATAACAATTCTAACATGGGAGGATTGTCTCGCTCAATGCAGCGCAAGCTGATAACGCTTATAAACTGTCAGTTGCTGGAAAAAGAGGGCAGGGCTCGAGCTGTGAGAGCTGCCAGGTCTTTAGGTGAGCGCACTGTCACTGAGCTCATCTTACATCACCAGAATCACCAACAGCTCTCAGCAAACCTCTGGGCTGCTGTCAGGGCAAGAGGATGTCAGTTTCTAGGACCTGGTGAGACTTGGATTGTTGTCTGTGCTTGATTAAAGTTGCAAATACATGTTTATACATGCTGTAGGAGTTTCTCCTTTGCTCTCATTCATCAATTGCACTCAATAATAAATAACGTTTTCCACATTATATTGGGGGAAAATCTCATTTTTTGATGTACTATTTTTTTAGTCCAGTTTCTCTGAAAATTATTGCAAATCCAACCTTATTGAAGATGTGATGCACTCCAAAACTGTAGAAGTTTTTCAAGTTAAACTTCAATATGGTTTATTTTAATGCTGTGTTCTACATTCAATGTGCAGCAATGCAGGAAGAGGTGATCAAGCTTGTGCTGCTTGCTCTAGAGGATGGGTCACCACTGTCTCGTAAAGTGCTGGTCATGTTTGTGGTGCAGCGTCTGGAGCCGCACTTCCCTCAGGCCTCAAAGACATCCATTGGTCATGTTGTGCAGCTCCTCTACAGAGCTTCGTGCTTCAAAGTGAGACTTGTTTTGGGTCTTCTTAATTATTCATTTTGTTACTCACGTGAGTATTTTATACTTGTATCCTTTATATGTACTTCCACAAAGAAATTAAATACTGATATTTTTGAGTGTTAATAAAATATTCATGGTACGGTGCCATATTTTTTCTACAACCAATGAAATGATTGCATCACAATGTGTTTGAGAAATTTTATTCTAGGTATAGTTTTCTATTGGCCAGTAAACCGTACTTTATTAGTTTCTGTAACTTTTCCACTTGCGTTGATTCTTAAGAATTGCGTGATCTTGAGTATGAATTTAATTCATTTGAAACTCTCATTTGAAGTTGAATGATCTATATGTTATCAATGTTGTGTGTTGAAATGTCGAAGCAAGTTGAAGTTGAATGATCTATATGTTTTCAATGTTGTTTATTGAGGTGTTGAAGCAAGTTGAAGTTGAATGACCTATATGTTTTTAATGTTCTTTATTGAGGTGTCAAAGCGAGACCGAGATTCATCACTGATGCAGCTGAAGGAAGAGTTCCGCTGCTACGACAGCTTGCGTCGCGAGCACGACACCCAGATTGTACAGATCGCCACAGAGGCCGGGCTCAGGATAGCGCCAGATCAATGGTCATCTCTGCTGTACGGCGATGTGTCGCACAAGTCCCACATGCAGAGCATCATGGATAAACTGCAAACGCCGCAGAGCTTTGCTCAGTCCATCAATGTAAGCTGCTTCTCTGAATTAAGAGCTTAGTAGGTACTGTTGCTTAGTTAGGGTAATCTTTCTTAACACGTTGACTACGATTGCTTCATCTTATACTATTATTTAATTTTTTGTACTTTTTTTAAGCAAGGTTGCCAGATGGTAATTTTTTCCGGACAAATTCCGTGATTTAGTTTTTCTCAATTGCGTTGGCCGGCTAAAATTTATGATAGGGGTACTTCCTAATAAAATTTTAAATACTGCAAAAAGAAAATAAATGGAATTTTTATAGCGGAACCTACAAATAAACTAGTATATATTGAGTTATTGGCCTTTTTTGGCCTTTTTTGTTCTCGGATTTGGCCGATTTTAGGCAACGTGTATTCTGTACCACTACGTCCTGGAGAAATACATTTCGTAGTACGCATATGTACCACTTCGGAGTCAACGTGTTAAGCAGTGGAGTGTTAAATATTGAGGACCATGTATGAATTACGTTAGGATTTATCGTTCTGTGCTTGAAGAAATACTATAGAATGGGACGTGCCGGCGTGAGTGAATGACGCTGGTTTGCTCTGCTATGCACTTCCATGCCCAGAAATTTTTAATCGTGTTAATGATGTATCCAAATTATTATATTGTCGAACTGAACTAAAACTGATGCTTGATCAGGAGCTGCAGTTTGTCCTGCAACGCACTGGAGATCCTAGTCACCTGTACAAGCTGTGGCCACATCTGGAGTTGCTGGCCAGTCTTGACGCGGGCTCGCCTCTCACCAACGGCTCCTCAACTTCTCCTAGTGAACAGACAATCGAAATTGGCTCTAAGACATCTTCTGATAAGGTTATACTCACTTTTAACCACGATTGATACTACAAATATGTTTTGTTGACTTTGAGTTCTTGGGGTATTGTTCAATTTAATTTTCCATTGTCTACTTCATGTCATGATAAGCTCATAACCACATATATTTTTTGCAAGAATATCTTTAACTTGAAACTTCTAGCTCCCATCAATTCTGACTAAGTTACTAATGTCTAGTCGCTTCTTGATTTGCAAATTTAGTTTTCACATTGCTATGTAAACACCTAGTGAATATTGTTTTCTTGTCACGTGAAGGGTTTTGCCCAGACTCTTTCCCTCTTACACTGACTTTTGGTGATCAGGAATTGCCTGAGCTGGAAGTTGATAGTGACCGAGAAGAGAGTCCAAAGACCGGAGACTCCGTCACCACCATCTCTGTCAACGGTGGGAAAACAGAGACTGTATCTTGGTCTCTTTGTGGGGACGGTTTACGGGCTGTGCATTTTGTGCTGCTTGGGCTCGTGCAGTTCCTGCAACACAGCCAGCACCGCCGCTTGCATGACCATCTGCAGCACAACACCTATTCTAAAACCAGACTTCTGCCTCCACGCCAGGCCTTCACGCAGCATCGCCGCAACATTCCCTACAACTCTCCCAACAATCGCCCTAGACCCAACCAGACTGCCGCTGTATTCAAGCCTCAAACTTATAGCAAACAGTATGCCTCTGAGAACGAATCCCCTAACTCTAGTCACGACGGTGGAAAGAATGATCTTGATGTTGAAGAGCATTCTAATCTGCAGTATTCAAATAACCACGATGAGAGCTTGTCACAACTAACTAAAGGGGATCAATACATAGGAGATAATCAAAGGAACAGCCGGGAGTTGTCATTTTCCAGCCCTCGTAGTGATGACGGCAGTAACAAATCTGTGACGACTTGTTCTAGCTCACCTCATTCCAAAACAAATGACACTCATGCAGACGGTAATGAAAACCTAAGAATTTATGGCTACAATGCCATAGTGGATCCTCGTGCCCAATACCAGGCAGACTGCATTGCAGGCTCAATATTTAGTGACAGTGACGGCAGTAGTATTGGCGGCTACACGGACATTGAATTCAATTCTCCTTATCACGCTTTTTCCCCTGTACCTCCTCCTCGAGTTGTTGTGCCTTCTCCTGCCATGATAGGTTCAGGTCCTGTGTATCCTCAAGCACACACTCCTCTCCTCACCACCACGGACATTTATCCCACTGTTGCTACTCCTCAAGCTGTCATCATGAACCCTATAGCTCCGGGGCCTCCACCAGTCTTTAACATGGTACCGTCAAACCTGGAGTTTGTTTTTCCCGTAAATGAAGGACACGGCGGCCACATGGGCACTTCTCAGACTCTGTTTCCGTCCCTAACTCCACTTCAGCCGCTTGCTCAGCCCATTCCTACCCCCAATTTGTTCCCGCAACCGGCTTTTGTGGGCCAGTGGTATGGAATATCTCCGTTCATACCACAGAATACACTGGAAGAAACCAATGCTGGTGTGCATTTGGATGACAATCTGGGTTATGAAAGTCACAGGAGCAACAATATAACTCCAACATCTCTTGCTCCCAACACTCTTAAGAAAAAATCCCTCTCTGAACTTAGAGAAATCAAGCACAGCATCGTGTCACGCCTTATTGATATTGTCGGCGAGAAACAGACGGAGGAAGTTGAAGAGCTCATCGCTAAAAACCAGTCACACATACCATGTGTTATTCCAACGACCACTGTTGATTCTTCGTCTGACGGCCCAACATACAGCATTTGGACCTCGGGTCACGAGTTCTACAAAAGCTGTCGCATAGCGCTGCGCACCACGGCCTCTGACATCGACTCCAGCAGCAGACCTGACAGTGCAGGTACCTTTATTTATTAGAGAATTTTTATTAGGAATTCAAATTAAGCCAAACCTAACTAGCAACTGCTGCATTATAATTAAATTAGTTAAGGGGAGCGTCTCGCCTAAAATTTATCTCAGTAATTTACAGAGGGATCAGTCTGAAATTTGGTACACATGTGTAAACCCTTAAATAAAACAGGTTTTATTCGTGTCAATTTTTCGAAAAAATTGAAAGAAAACGTGAAATTCTTAGAAAACGACCAAAAAGGGGTACTTTAGAAAACCTATCTCCTCCTAGGATTTTCAAGCTACAACATCAAGACACATATCATTCGATGCGTAAAGACCACATCTACAAAATTGTGTATAGATTTTTTGAATTTCTCATTTTTGTGCGTGTGGGAGCATTTTTTGTAAAATTTTCGGAAATTTTTCGATTTCACCCCCCGCCTCCCCCCTTTTTGCAGAATAAAATCTAAACTATAACGAAATTAGAAAAACGCATGCACACTTTTGTATATCTTTTTTTTCCAAATCGAATGGTGTTTGTCTCATTGATGTAGCTTCAAAACTTTAGGAGGAGATAGGTTTGCAGTGACAATAAGTTAACTTTTCAGTAGGGCCCGACAAAGTCGCGCGCGCCTCGAAAGTCATTCAAGGGTGCAAGGTTGCAAGACTACAAGATATTGGAGCTCAATTTCTGTCAAGGATAGTGCGAACGACGGCACGAGAGCCATCCCATATGACTGCAGGCGGATAACTGAAGCACAGCGTGTTCAGACTAGCTATTTAAGTGTGCTACCGGTAATTTAGGCCTATATTAAATGTTAAGGAACTCCACCACCCCTAACCCTTTCGCGATCTGTCGTGAACGCATAAATCAACGTACAGAGATGGTTTTGGTACCGTTAGATGCGGCAGAATGTAAGCTTTAGAATGAGTATAAAACCGAAAAAGTCAAAATTTTCGATTTTGACCGAGACGCTCCCCTTAATACCATTTAGAGGTTACTTTTTCAGTGACTGGATCATGATGGTGTTCTTATGTTTCCCTGACATTTTCATTTACATTTAAAATATTTGGTTGTTACAGCAGAGAAATGTGTAAACCGTTTCTACTATTAAGTTAGCTTCGTAAGTCCAGCAATAGTTGTCATTGCAGACGGCAGTGCCTATGAGCACGGCATGGGAGGCTCAGGTCTCGTTGGAAGGTCTGGCATGCACTCCAGCCGACCCATCCAAGTGTCAGCCAGCACCGATGTCAGCTACACCACAACTTCTACTCTCGACACAAACTGCTCCCTTATCGCCCTACCTCCGATGCCGCATCAGGTCGCAGTTCCCTATAGATTCATACGGCATACATGTAACGTATTACTCAGCAGATGACCTCGCAAAAAGTTCTAGTATCTATTTATTTTGTACAATATGCTTCATAAGTTTTCGTGCTAACTGTGACATTATGTGGTTGCTCTGTTTTATACATTTCAGCACCATATTTTCATTAGAGATTGGAACTCCTTATCATTTTATAATATTGTTTTCTAAAATGATCATTGTTGCACCGGTATTCAGATCCTTGCATGGGGTATATATCAATAACTAGCAATCAATTATGCACAACATATGAGACCCGGTTTTGTGTACAGGCGGTAATGTACCCCGCTGGCCACCAAGTACCAGGCTTAGCTTGCCCATCGTATGGCCTGTACCCCACACCTCTGCCAGACATGCCCAACGCCACAGCCCTGAACACCATCCAGCATGGCATCCTGGACCCGCCTCACCTGAGGATGGCTCAACTCGACCCATCTGGGGCCCGACCCTCCGACCCCATCGACCCGAAACTTGGCACTCACAACTTTGGCCAGTGGGAGGAACGACAGCGACAGCACCTCAATGCCGTCACTGACGGTATCGATCCGTTCTGCTCCATCAAAAATGTGAGATCATCGTTAGTTTTCACTTTTTCACATATGCTAGTATTCCTTTCTTTCTCGAAATTCAATGGCTAAATATTAAAATTTTGGATAGGAACGACATTTTTGGTGGTGTTACTTGAATATTGGACGTGTTGCAAGAATTATGGTTTCATTGCGAGGATGGGTTTGTGTAAATGAAATATTTTTCAGTTGATCAGTAACGCGGAACAGATAATTCTAGTGATCATCCCTCTGATTTTTCATCGAAGGCATTATGTTGATAAACAATGAACTTAGTTTTTACATAAAATCAACCACATCTGTTGTGAATTTTAAATTGCAAATGCCGGCAGAATGAAATTTGAATTACAAAATTGTGTCCTATATTTTAGATGCCTGAAGAGCATCGGCTGAAGCAAGAGTTGAGTTTCGTGATGCACGGCATAAGCGAGAAGCTCAACATTCAGGACGTCGCGGCGTCTTAAGTAATCAACTCTTCACCATGGCTGCAAACAAGACCTGATTACACACAGACTCAGTTTACTGGTTTGCACTCGATCTCTAGGTTTGCCTTGAGCTCTCTTATTCCCAGGCTTGTCAACGTTCGTTACTTTGCCATGTCTTTGAGATAGCACGTATTTTCTTTTGAGAATATCTAAATGTCCTCGGAGGTCCTTTAGTTTATATTAGTACTCCTCCCCTTTTGAAGGATTTGCTTTTGATCCATTGTATGTATCGATGAAGAATTAAATGAGTCGGAGAAACAAATTCCAACAGTCTAGCGGCTGATAATTCTTTAAAAATTCTTTCAAATGAATAGACTTTCTATCTTCTACACAGATGATGCTTCGTTTTAGGAGTTTTTATAGATGTGGATTACGGGTGTTTTACACCCTTACTTATTGTGATCGCGAGGCATTCGTAGTCCCGGTGACGCCTCGATTTGCTTCTTTCATATGGCGTTTCTGAAGTGTCTTGCTTCAGAAAATTCGATGAAAATGAGACTCGACTGAGGTGCAAATGTGCACTGAATTCCCTTTATAAGGGCTTGTTTTGTGCGTTCTTGCACTGCATTACATTGTCTTTATAAGACGCCCAATTTTATTGTAGTCCTACCGAATGATATACCCATTCATTTAGTACTATATGAAATGGATACAATCAACAATACACCAATGGAACCAACGTACTAAACACATCGGTAATATATGTTCACATAATGACAGGTTTTGTTTTGCGTTATTTCGTATGCATGAGCGCGAGTTTCCGTCTCTGGAATCAAACGCATCAGGCAAAGGAAACTCGTTAAAAAAATAAAACGGCTTCATTGATGGTGAATGAAAATAATATTCATGTATTACAATATTATATCTTTGTTCTAGGATTGAACCTCTGAATCTTGGATGTATTCTTTCTGTTTGCAAGCTGGTGTGCCTTGATTGCTTGGTGTTTTGCGCGTACTCGTGAACGAAGTGCATTTTATCATATTTATGCTAAATGAAAAATTCTAATTTCTTCAATTAATGCAAAATGAAACCTCATTTTAGTAATTGAGGTAAAATTATCAAACATTGAAGTGAATAATGCCCCGTAATTATTTTATATTTGCATCCCATTCTAAAAACTACAAAAATTGAATGATTGAACGCATCTTCATCAACTCTAATCTTTCACTGGGCTTACCATTGGATTTAACTTGTTCCGAAATTAACATGTTCCATGTGAATATATTCCGTCCAAATGCGAAATAGCTTGGCAATGAATTTTTCTTTTCTTACATCACGGACACTAAATTAGAATGTTCTGAGAGAGAGTTCCTCAAGATGAAGTTTTGATTGGGTTATTTATGTACCTAAGATGGGATTATTTACTTAACACGGGGACATTTACCTAAAATGGGGTTATTTACCCAATATTGGTGAATATACCTAATATGGAGCTTCACTAAATTCCGCCTCGGCGGAATATACTGAAGAAAACACTTGCTCTGTACACTCACTCGCCCTCGCTTGCATCAAACGGAGTGAGTGCTAGCCAATATTTGGTTGTTATCTCAAGCATCTTGAGTTATTGGAAACCTTCCATGTTATAATGGAGCTTTAATGATAGTGGTTTATCCTGCTCATTGGAACAAACCAATTCCTTTCGATTTGTGAAGTAGATTGGGAATTTATTATGAAGTCTTGTTAATATATATTTGTGTAATCGTAAGTGTTACCGTTAATCTCAAATTTTCACTACTATATTAGTAGTATTTCATTTGAATATGTGAAGTATGGCTCAGCTTAGCGTTCTACATTGGCTTTGAAAAATAACGTATCTGTGTGATGTCTGCCTCTGTTTCTGCTGTGGGCAAGAACGTCTGTTTTTGTTTACACCATATGACCAATTACTTATTATTACATTACTTATTCTGAAGGGCGTAAGCATAGCTAGACTCTTAAATCCGAGGTCTCAATTGGTAAACTTCGCAGCATTTGTTTAGCGTGTGAAACGTGACTCTTTGCGTGTCATTCTATCGAAACAATTCATGATTAACACTCAAGATCTTGTATTAGCTGTGGCAGTGAATTGTCTCGAACTTTTATCAATCTAACAGCCGCAGAACTCTTAAATGTAAGAAGTTATTGATAACGCCGCGGAATCATGCTTAACTATCTATGATTATTAACTGTGTTGATATTACATCAGATGTATTAATCATACTAGATTCATCGGTAATGAGGAGGGCGATTCGTGTGTGTCTGCGTTGAATATTCTTGGAATAGAGACTTTTCTTCGTTTTTTTTCCTACTGGCATCACATAAATGCTTGATTATGTAGTTTGTAACTATGTATGAAATACTAACTAAACGTTAACAGTCATTATCTCGGCTATGGACTTGCTACGTTTTTTGAGATTTATTTCACCAATTTTTGTTGTTTACATCTTCTTAGTTTCGTCGAATTCACAGCTGCTGCGTTGAGTTATTCTCTGCACGTCATGTCATAGTAAATTTTTCATGCCTTGTGCTTGTCTATGCGTATAACAAACTAACCTATTAAGCGGTGCAGAGCTCAATAAATTTTTCGATTTTTTTTTGTTAAGATTCTTGGAAATTAATTTTGAGGAGCTTCCATATTGATTTTTATGCTGAACATTCATTTATATTTGAGCGCATGGTAATGTAATGTGGTGGGAGCTATCCTTACCTGAACTTGTGAAATTGAAATTTGTAAATCAGAATCATCTATTAAATTAATGATAGTGAGGGCATGATCAGTTTCTTGTAGTTTCATAACGTTTCGTTCAGGATACTTGTATACCTTCTTGACTCTTATTTAATGTTCAGCCTTTTCGCTCTGACTGCATTTTCCGTGCGGTTAGCAGTACGTGGGCAAAACTCCATACTAGCCGCGCTAGTAAACTTCCAGCACATGATATACTCCTATCATAATTAAATCACAATAATAGCTCTTGTGTCACTATTAACACGTTGTAACCTTGAACAAGAACTCTCCCATTGCTGCTAAACAATTGACCGTATCATTAGGTGTACCTCTATGCTATGCATCCATTTGACTTGTGTTGAATGAGTTCGTCACTCGTACTTGGAATTTGTTCTCGTACTTGGAGTTTGTTCACTCTTACTTGGCAGCCATTTTAACTCTGGCGACTTCCATGCATATTAGTGAAGGAAGCTTTTCTTGCTCATGAAAAGTAAACTTCACGAGATGTATTTAGAGATTTTGTCCTAATCAATGTGTATTTGGAGAGCTTTCAATTCCGAACATCACGACTCAAATGCTTCTTATCGCTAGATTATACATACATCGCTTTAGTAATTGCTATGGATTTTTGAACCGAGTTGTTACAACTAGCTATCTCATACGCAAGAAATGGCTTTAGCAAAATCATTCACTTAGCAGAGTTCTACTAATAAGTTTCAAAACACGTTATTGCGCTATTGAAATTCCCTTGTGGTCAACTTGTCGGTGTTTTCTACAAAGTTTCCTTGTACCGGAGTCCATTCTATAAGCCTCAAGGTACATGGAGTAAGTTAGATTGACTAAAGTCGCGTTTAATTTCTATAATTTTAGTTCTCGTTACTACTTCTGTATTCTGAAGATAATTGTCGGCTTAATTTTTCTTACACATCGAAAACAAATATTGTTCGTTTTAATGTTTACGTCGAGAGTTTCATGCTTTCTATGTTTATTACTCGCTAGAGTAGAGTGCTATCTATGGTGTGAAATCTTGCTATATCGATGGTGTGAAATGTTTCATCTTGCTATATAGCAGAACTTGGTTAGATATCTACTGTGCCCCAACTTAGTGAATGGCCGAATAAACTTTATCATTGCTGAATTTTATTTTTTGCTTTTATTGCTTTTATTGAGCTGTTGTTAACTGGCAGCAAACTTAGAGGTTTTATGCGTTGTGTCTCTTTCTGGTGACTGTACGTTTGAACACAACGTGTCATGATAATGCTTATAATGTTTGCTTTCAAGTGTACAGTTAAACAAAGAGTAACTTATATTCGTGCATTGTGATGTTCTTAGCAACTGCTACTCTAATTGAGCGGGTCTTCTGCTTGTAATATTTTCTTGTATGTCTTGCATGCTGTTACTATAATTATATCAATGAATTTATTAATTTTATCTTTCTATTACTAATGTTGTACATATGTGTAAAATTTGACACTTGCAAGTCGCACACGCTTGTATTCCTCCCTGTATATAGTCTATGGTTGTTTGCATTTATAGCAATGTTTGTTCGCGTGGCTTGGCCAAAATTTTACAAATGCCAGAGTTTCGTTTAATGATACTAGGCGTGTTATTATTGCTATAGCGGGCACTTGGAGAATATATATTTGTACCGGGCACTTTTTGCTTCATATTTCAATATTTTTTAAGAATTTCAGAATTGTTTTTCAAATATTGTTGAAAGTTCATTCAGACTTGCCTGAATTCTAGGGGATGATGAAAGTACTCCTTTGTAAAGTAATTGAATTAAATATTACAACAATTTGATGAAAAATTTACATTGCTAATTAATACTTGAAGGTAGTAGCCGATTTTGCATGTTGGACCGATGCTGGATCTTGTGTATTTTCTTGTGCTTTATGGCTCCAGACTTGCTGGCTGAGCCATACGACGTTCGTTATTGTATAGAAACAACGCATATTAGCGTTATCGTGTCGATGTAGTAATCTTGTTGAACAAGTTTTTAGGGAGAAATTCTTTCGAAGAAAGCGAAAGCCAGTGTATCGTTGTCATTCAACGCGTTCTTCGTTGTATTCAAACCTCCGACACCCTCGAGTACCTACCTCAGTGCACGAAACCCTTCTCTTGTGTCTCTCAACCTCCCTTCAGTTACAGAACCCGTATCATGTAGATCAGTGTTGTACCTAAATCTCGTACCATGGAGCTTAGTGTTGTTCCTAAATCCCGTACCATGGGGCTCAGTGCTGTTCCTAAATCCCGTACCATGGGGTTCAGTGCTGTTCCTAAATCCAGTATCATGGAGCTCAGTG